TGTATTCAAAGTGGTTGGGATAGATATATAGTTGCATTCTCTTAATGAATAGAATGATTTGTTCTAATGGTGTTTGTAAGTAGGATCACAGGTCTGCATCTTGTACAGCAATTAACCATTGGGAAGAATGTATGCAGTGTATTATTAAAAAAATAATAACAACATTTTTGGTCTACAGGCTTTGAAATACTACATAAATATAACATATGTATGTGATATACAAATCTGATGATGTCTGCCTATACTTGTACAGAAATTGTGTACCTAAACCCATGCAAATTTTCCTATGAAGAATTTTATTATTATCAAAAAAAAAAATAAAAGCAAAAAAAAACCAATAGTAACAAAAAATGACTTTTGGCGAGGACAAGGAGGAACTGGTGGGACTATAAACTGTATGGTTGCTATGAAAAAAAAATATGGCAGTTTCCCAAAAATTAAATGCAGAATTACCACAGAATCTGGCAATTCTACTCCTAGGTACATAATGAAAAAGCAATCAAATAAAAAGCTGAATGCAGGGAGCTAAATGGATACTTTCATGTTAATGTCCATAACAGCCTTAATCAGAATAGTGCTGGGGTCTATCAAAAGATAAGTGGGGGGGGCAGAGATAAATGGATACATACAATGTGATATACACATTATTCAAACACAAAAATAAAATTCTGATACAAATTTTGTTTTACTATTTTTAAAAATCTCTTATTTATTTGATACAGCATCTTGCTATGCAGCTCAGACTTACAGTAATCCTCCTGTCTCAGCCTCTCCAGCTCTGGAATTATAGGCATGTGCCACCCATGCCCGGTTTCAGCTGCCAGCATGGAATGCAGTACTGGGGATCGAACACAGACCCTTGCATTTGCCAGGCAGGCATTTAGACTGTTATCTCCCTAGCCCCTGATACAAATTCTGATCAATGGATGAACCTTGAAAACATGATGCTCAAGAGAAACCAAACATAAAAGGAAAAATATTATATGACTCTGTTTCTAAGGTACCTAGAATGAACAAATTCATAAAACAGAAGAACAGATTGGAGAAAGGAAATAGGATCTTCACATTTAAGGGGGACACAATTTCTGTTTAGGATATAAACAGTTCTGGAAATGGTAGTTATGATGGCACAAAATTGTAAATATACTCACCAGCACTGAATTATACACTTAAGTATGGTTAAAGTGGTAAATTTATGTCTATTTTTATCACAATACTACTAACAAAAATAAGAATACGCTGAAGACAAAGCAAGCAAGGAAGCAAGGAATAGAGGTCCTAAGCTAGTGTCAAACAAACAGCTTCCATAAGTCATCCAAGGAGCCAGAAAGTGTAGTGTGACACTGAGGTGACAGGCCCAGAGGTTACATGGTTGTAAAATAAGCCAACCTAATCCTGGCTTTGCCAGTGCAGTTTCATATCCTTAGGAAGTATGTTTCATCCCTGTGGTTGGAATGGAAACAATGGCATCCTTCTCATAGGATTTTTTATTTTTCAAAGAGAGGGGAAAAAAAACCTAATAAAAATGATACAGAAGATACAGAATTTCAGGGCTGGTGAGATGCTCAGTGGTCTAAAGCACCTACTTAGAACAAGCTTAGCAAAGCACAGGGACCACATGCCAGCCAGCCCTGCCCCCTGGTGGGCTGAGCTGGCCACACACACACACACACACACACACACACACACAAATAAAAAAAAAATAAAATTAAAAAAAAGATAAAGAATTTCAAAACAATACAATAGGAAATTGAGAATGATTATACTGCATATGTTGTCTTCCAAGTAGTTGCTCAGTATTTGCTTGCGCAGCACATATACAAAGTAGTTGCTCAGATTACCAGGTACAGGCAGGCAAAACTGATGAAGCAATAAAAGCATATCTCACCTATTTTGTGTGTGCATACATACATATATATATATATATATATATACATATTTTGAAGATTAGTAAGTTGTCATAAAAGTATTTCTGATGAGTAAATTCATATAAAGCACTGAGAGATCAATAAAGGTGAATTTACATTGTTATGGGTTATATAAACAAGCATAAATTACATATCCAGAGTTTAGTCTGAAATGCCTTAATCTATTTTGGGGTCCAAATTTAGAAAACTACCTAGTAATAATGAAATTCTCAGATGTACATGATCAGAAGGTTTATCACATTTTGATTTGCTAGCTCTATGTGCTAGAGTCTCTAGATCTCACAACATAGCAAGAAATACACATTAAACCATTATTCAATGTCTTTTCCCTACAGCTGCACTAGCTTGCAGGACAAAGAATTCTTTCAATTAAATACGAGTCCTGTGGATTTTTTGTTTAAGTTGCAGCTCCCAAGAGGTTTAAGTGTATAGAACGTTAACAGTGGTTCATTTGCTTTAGTACTGATAGTGGGCCCTCATCTGTGTTACATGCTATGTTATTACATGCTTAAAAACTTTAAAAAACCTCAAATAAACATTATATACTTACCAACTGAAGATAGAAATCAGTAGGACTATTTATGTAACAAACCATAACAGAAACATCTGTCCTTTCTTTAGGCAAAATAGGTGGATGATAGCGTAAAGTCATATTATTTTCAGTGTGACTTCTTGGTGACTGTGATCTAAACCTAATTAAAAACATAAGTCATTTTCTTAAAGTATCTCTTCCTTTAGTGAATTGATCTGAAGAATGAGCTTCTACTGATTTACTTAGCTAAAGTATTCCTTTTCTAATTTTTCCTTCTAATTTACTACATTTCTTGGTATCATCTCCAGTTACTGAACCTGGTGTGATGGCTGCCCACTGACAACAAAAGGGTTAAAGTGCTCAACGGCAGGACTCTTCAGTAAGGCAGTCCTGCCAGCTAGGACCAAGCAGTCGTAGACAATATAACACTGACAAAAATGATGTAAGATAAATAAACCTTTGATGTAAGACCCATTCATTCCTCCAATGAGCCCTGACCCATCTTCTCTAAAAGTTAATGTGGCTAGACTACCTTATCTGGGACTAAGGCCTTCTATGAGGCCAAAGTTGGTCTTACCAACTTGAAACATCTAATGTTAGATACAATGCAGGTATTTCCCAAAGATGTACAAGATGTTAGAAGATCTGAAAAAAGACATTCTTTAGAAAAATCACACTTGCTGTTAGATCCTTCCTCCACATCCTTAAGCCCTTATAAAACCCCCAATCTCTCACAATGATCTCACAACTACCTTTTTGGAGGTAGGCTCACTTTCTTCCTTGACAGTGTGGGTGGGCCTGAACAAAATTCTTACCTTTACTCTTCTCCTTGCTAGGTAAATTCTTTATGTTGCCCACATAACCAACCCTCCTTATGCCATCTTGCATGGTACTGGGGTAAGAGCTCAGCATTTAAGTTTCCAGTTTATGCAGGACATTTTAGAGTTGAATGTATTTGTGTTGGTCACTGACTATAGCAGCACTCAGGGCAGCCAAAATGTCTGTGGCCTTTTATCTGCTTCTCTCTCTCTCTCTCTCTCTCTCTCTCTCTCTCTCTTTTCTTTTCTTTTCTTTTCTTTTCTTTTCTTTTCTTTTTTCAGTACTGGGGATTGTACTCAGATCCTGTACTTGCCAGGCAAGCGCTTATTCTACTGAGCTAGCACCCCAGCCCTCTGCTTTTATCTTTCTAACAAATGAACCTACTTGGGTCATTTCTAGAGTCATTTAATCATCCAGGATAGGAGGTTAGAACTGCTACTATTGGCAGAGTTCCTGAAATCATCACATTTTTGCTCATCAGAAATGAAGAAGAGGCCAATTTAAGAACTCTAGATTCAGACTTTTAAGTACATGAATTCTTTCCAAAGGCTAGGAAATTTAAATTAGGAACAACTAAACTCTAATTCAAAAAACAGCAGACCTATTTGTAGCTATACAGAGTCTAAAAGTGATTACACATATTTTCTATTTTGAGCTATATCTTAATTTTTCTCTTTTCTTAAACAGAATTAACTGAATGCAGTTTTCACAGACAACTAAAAACCCCTGATAATCACGTTGCTTAATATCTAAGGGTATGTGTCTCAGTTACTTTTCTCATTGCTGGGACAAAAGACCCAACACCTAAAATTTGAAGGAGCAAAAGTTTATTTGGCTCCCAGGTTGTAGAGGTTTCAGTCCATAACCAGCTGGCTTCAAGGCACAGTGGCCTGCCAGAGGGCTGGGAAGAGAACAGTTCATGGTGTCCACAAAATAGCAAAAGCAACAAGGGAGGGAAAGACAAGACTCTGTCGCTTATATATTGTATGTGGGCTACCCACCCTAAGGTAAGTATAGCACTCTCACCCTTAGTCCTAGCCAGAAGTATGCCAAATCCATCAATGAACTGATTTAATAATCACACACCCTTGATCTCAGAACAACATGCTACAAATCCAGGCACCTCTGAAAAGCCTGCCCCTCCCCCTCATGACAGCATGAGCCCTTGGATGCAAGCCAAAAGAGTATGCTAAATTTATCTTATTGTTATTTTTTTTGTAAATAGAAATAAAAACTTTAGATGATCTGAAATTTTAAATTATTGCAAGTATTCTAAAATAAATATGCATTTCAAGATCCCACACTTTTAAAAGGCAAAACCTGCTACTATTTAGTTATAATCTTAAATAATATTTAGTGTTTAACAAGTTACTTACCTTGCCAGTTCCATGAAAACTAATGCATCTCTAAGAGACACAGGCATATCACTGCTTATTGTATTCGTTGGTGGTTTCTGCAGGTCCACAATAAGCACACCGTCGTCTTCTCTAAAAACTTTCATTAAAACAGCCTTGTTATTTACCATTTTTAAAAATTCCACTTTAGCTTCTTCTTTCCAGCCTTTATTCTGTGAGAAAGACAATAAAAATCTAAAGTAATTAGTAATTATAATTATCTCTAAAGGCATACTATCTAGATGTAACTTTGTACCAGTCTGCAACTCTGGGCAAAGGCATTGAGCTAACCACAAATATAGGAAATAGCTGAAACCACAAACTAAAGGGCAGTCTTAATGCATGCACAATGTGCATACACACACACACACCTCTTTCTCTCAAGGTGTTTACAAGTATTTTTCATTTTAGTTTTACTATTGAATAGTATAGTAATATGAAAATAATGATTCTTAGCATGCTATAGTATAGTGGCATATATGTACAATAGTAACACTCTAGGAAGCTGAGGCAGGAGAAGTGTAAATTTAGGCCCTGCATGGACAACCTGCTTTTATGATTGAGCAAGACTCTGACTTAAAATTTTAAAAAACTATTTAAAAAAGGTCACTGTAAAGGCCCTGGGTTCAATCCCTAGACCACTACCAACACATATACATATACATACATACATACACACACTTTACATAAATTTTCCACTTAGTGAAAACTCAAAAGTAATTGTGCATGTATTATACAAACCTTTGTACAATAAAAATAGTTCTGATCATCAGTTAATCTAGCTTTTCTTATCAGCAATATATAAGGTACATGTACGTTCACTGAATCTAGACAGCAATTTCACTGATAATGAACACCAAAAATTTGAATATTTAGCTTTTCAAGAAGAAATAATTTAAGTCTTACTGAATTATGTGGAACGATGTCTTTCAAGGAACAAGGATGAGCTAATGGTGGGATGTCTTTCAGCAACTCTTCAATACATGATTCAGACTTCCTTAGAACAAGGCATAAATCATTTAGTACAATATGCTGCTGAGCAAAATGTTCCGGTCTCACATGGCTATCACCAACTCTAGGAAGAATTAAAGTACTTTTTAAAACTACTGTTTCAAGCTTGAGCTTTCCTTAGTTCTTAAAAGGTATGCATTTCTAAGGATAATTTCCTTAAATTTAATCATCTAGAAGTTATAATCCAGCTCATATTTTCTCATTATTGACTTTTGTTTCTAAAAGCACAGATACTGTTTTTATCTACAGAATTACATCTCAGCTACTTTTACTTTTTATTTTTTAAATTTTTGTATTTAGTGTAGGGTCTCCAGGGTCTCACTACATAGATCAGACTTGTAGTGATTCTCCTATTTTCAGCTTCCTAAGCGTTGGGATTATAGGCATGTGCCACACCCAGTCTCAAATGCCATCTCAGCGTGCTCTGGGGACGGGGCTAGCACAGCAGGCTGGGGGTCGAACCTCTGACCCTTGGGTCTGCCTAAGCAGGCGCTTTAATGCTCTGAGCTATTTGGCCAGTCCTTCAGCTACTTTTATTTGAAATTTCATACATTCATTCAGTTTAAACCTAAAGGAAATAGTGACCCTCTGTGCTAAACTTAGATATCTATTTATAAAGCTATGATTATAAACAAAGTGACCATGCCATAGATAACACTAGTTTGTATACAGAACCATTGAAGTTTCTTTTGGTAAAAGACATAGAAAGATCATTTTAAATATCTAGTGTTTCAAAGAGTGACATTTTAAACATCTTTTAGTGAAATAATATGATTTTATTCTATCATTACTGCAGCCAACTACAACACTTTAAAAGAGTCACTTCTGTGCACATTCTCTGCTTTGAAGCAATATGAAAAGAACTTAAATTTTAGAATACATCAAGAAGCTTCATTCCATGTTTGTAACCTAGTAATACTATTTTTTTTTGTTTTTGAGACAAGGCCTCACTATGTTCAGGCTAGGCTTGAACTCACTATGCAGACCAAGATGACCTTAAACTCCTGGCAATCCTCCTGCCTTAGCCCCCTGAGTGTTGGGATTACAGCGTGCACACCATACCTGTCTAATCTAGTAATATTGATAATATTTTACTTATTCAGTAAAATAAACATAAAGCAAAATAATAAAGTGTATGTCTTGGCAGCAAAGAATGACAAATTATCCTACTTTACCCTTTTCTGATTTCCTCCATTTAAAAAATTCCCCCTCCCCTAACAAAATGTTCCTAAGCATGCCAAAAATATATAATAATTGCAAAATACCTTACCCTGTCACAATTAGGACTTCCGTATTTCCAAAATCTACCATGAATATTTCTATAACTGCAACTTCATGCACCGGGAATTTGGTTGGACTACAAGGTTTTCTAATATTTTTACTTTCTATTGGAATTAATTCAGTGATAGTTCCTCGGCACCACATTCCATTTGCAACACTGTTGACAAATATCCTTGCACCTGAATAACGTGGGGAGAAGTTATTATCAATGTTAATGAATAAAGACATTTAATAAAGTTCTAGCTTACAAACATGTGCATCAGCTCTGTGAAATATAAATAACTGCATTTATTTACCGAACATATAGTACCATGTCAAGTGCTATGAGGAGGATACAAGGTAATATGATAGATGGTTACAGAGAGCCTTACAAGCTAGAGGGGAGACAAAAACCAGAAAAAGTCAGTAGTCATTCAATGGAGAGCAGTGTTTCATACACTACATTAACAGATAATGAGATTGTCTGGCAATAAAGAAGTTCAAAGGAAGAGAAATACATTCTACAATACCATGTATCTACTGAAGTGGGTGTCCATTGGGAACAAAAAGGTTAAAACCCTTAAGGAAAGAATTCCAGTTAAAGACATCAAGGTAGTCTCAGGACCTCAATGAACTTTTTGATGTGAAGCTATGCAATCCTCCCAATGAGTCCCAATCCATTTTCTCTAAAAGGTATGTATAGACCTCCTTATTTAAAGCTAAGCTTATTAAAAAAAAAATAAAGCTAAGCTTATAGAAATAAGCCAGAGAAAATGATCTTGTCAAACCTGCAACTGTAAATGTAATTTGAAAAACAATACAAGTGTTCTCCGAAGATGTACAAGGTGCTGACTCAAGAAAAGCACTTTTTAGATAATCACACTTTCTACCTATATCCTCAAATCATTATAAAAATCCAGTTTCTCATCCTGACTGCAGTGATTTCTCCTTTGGAAACTGGCTTCTTCTCTATCTTGACAGTATACTTTGATGTAAATAAACTCTAGTCTTTTCTACCTTCATTGTCTCTTGCTAAAATCTTTTAACACCCATGCCACAACTCCTGTGGCCTTCCATAAGCTGTCTGTCTCACAGGACACTTTCCACATTAAAGCCTCCGAGCATCATACATACACATGTAGGAAAAAACACCTTATAGTGAGGGAAAATAAAGGCTTTATCAAAAATAGGAAATCTTACCAAAATCAGCTTTTGTGTCTACAGTTAAGACTCTACAGTTAGAAAAATTAGAAAAACAAGGGCCGGCCAAACAGCTCAGTAGATTAAAGCGCCTGTTTAGGCGGGTGCCTTGGGATTCCATCCCACATGTGCCATGCCAGCCGTGCCCCTGGGTACGCTGAAACTGGTGATTGAGACTGGGCATGGTGGCGCACGCCTGTAATCCTAGCGGTTGGGAGCTGAAAACAGGAGAATCACTATGAGTCCTATATGTGTAGTGAGACCCTGTTGACCCTGTATTAAATATATTTAAAAAAAGAACAATTAGAAAGACAAATAAGAGCTAGCCCAGGTCC